CACAGATGACAACTTTACTGAAGCTTTGTCTGGAGCAGAGGGAAGCAATTGTGAAATACTGTTATTACAATAAAGACAGAAATGTATAGAAATATAAGCAAATCTCCTGGCTTGATATATGAGCTTTTCCTTATGTCATCAGAATACTCTTGATTATCTTGACAAGTATTTGTGAACTATCTTTCCAAAATTAATTTTAATTTGATTTACTGAAACTTAACTGCTTTTATGATTTTGTCAGCTTAATTTGATTATTTCAAAGGTCATGTCAACAAGGAAGAAAATCCAATCAAACCACAATTTCAATTCCATACACACTACTGGACTTTTAACAAATTTATAGATATTTCCTGTAGAAATGCCCTTTTTCAAGTGAGTGGAGGGGAGTAGCAGGGTAAAATCACTAACATGATTCTATCAGCCTTACATTTGGGAGGAATAAAAATAACCTTGTTTCAGTGAAGTGTGGAATTTAATTGGCTCCCTATCTTTTTTCCCTTATGCATCTGGTGGCCAGTACTACAGTAGAAAATTTTAAACTAGGAGACATAATCCAATTAAATTTTCCTTTTAAAAATGTCAAAGCAAATAAATCCAGGGCCCATGAGCTCACTCATAGCTTTGCTATTCTCACCGGGCAGCTGCTATTTACTGAGTTTCCATCCAGTGCCATCTTTGCTTCCCATTTCAAGGGTGTATGATTTTACAATTGGCAGCTACATATTTTCACCATTGATGAACAGTAATCTATTGCCAACTTGTTTGACATCTTAAGTAGCTCGAGTGACAGCCAGCTTGGAAGATGCCATGGGGCCCTCTTGCAGACAATGATTCTCAGCCATTTTAGAATCATGATTTTGCATTGTGGTTGAATTTTACTCGGTACTTCATAGTTCTTCCTTCTTTCATAAAATGCTATGTGACACATATTCTTTATGCTTCACATTACATGGAATTTATATTTGAAATTTGGGCACTGTCTCTTGAGTTATCTGAACGTCATATTGAAACTCTGGATCCATTCACAGTTTGTCAGGAAGTTGCCTTGTTCCAAGCTGTTCTGTGACTTTCATAGACTTTTTATTAGTTTTGATAAATGCAAAATTGCATAATGCCTTTGTTTATCTTACTCTAGAAGCTAACTTGGAGACAAAGATTGGAGTATAAATAGTTTTTTGAAGTGAAAAGACCACTAGTAAGGGAGTGGAGAAATGAGAAATGGAAGAAAAGGAGCTTATAGGGCATACTATTAAATCAGTAACAAATGTGGATGACTGGAGCTTAATGCCTCTGAGAAACACAGGGATGTAATAACCTCAGAGTTATCCCACCCAAAGTGTAGGTGGTATTCACCCATCAAGTCCCATCAGTCACTGTTTGAGGGCTGCTCCTGAAAAGGGGGAGTAATTAATTCCCAGGCACTTATGACATGTAACAGCAGCAGCCAAAGTGGGTCTCAGAGGACAAAGAAAAGCACTCAGGCAAAGGAATGCAGGTGCTGGTGGTTTGAAGTTAGGCTGTTGTGAGAGAGGGTGGAGAGGGTGAGGGAATCGGGAAGGGCACTGGGAGAACCTGCTACATGAAGATATTTAAGATTCCAACGTGCACCATTAAGGGGGCTGGTTTACAGAAACACAAGCAGGCTTGTCCTCATCTTGAAGGGTGGGGACTCTCCTGTTGTAAAATTACCATGCAGTTATTTCTACTTAAAATTTATGTGCACTGCTGGGAATACAATATAACCTGGAGTTTTCTTCACATTTTGTAGTGTAGGATGAATAAAAGGTCAGTGGAGACAAAGAATATTTTAACTCACTGCCCCAATTGTCATAAATATTCTGTAATGTTTGGAATGTTTGCATATTTATTAGAACAATTAGACAGGATTTCTCATTTCACCAAAGATTTATTTATTTTACAAAGAGATTGGCCATGTGATTTCTTTAGATGGATCCAGTTACAGGTAACAATTATTAAGAGATATCTTTTCCCTCTACTTTATTGCTATCCCCCCTTCCAAGTTTCTTAAGTCTTATCTCCTGCTTTCTACTCTCCTTTGGATCCCAGTTTGATTTGTGTTAGTTTATTTAAACTAGTAATTGGGAAATTTCTCTAAATTGGAGGTTGGTTATAATTCTGGTACCAATTCCAATGCATTTTTTTTTCCCCATACCAAGTATTTCTTGACATCAGCTGGGTGTCCTACAATTCAACTCATTTCTGATAGTATCTACCCAGAGATAGCCTCAGATCCCACAGGTTAATGGCTCAGCCCTACAACACTGCCTCCCCACTTCAGCCACCATTTGCATGTCCAGGTTGTCACCTGTGCATCTGACCAACTGGCTGTACGTTAGAGGGTTCCCATAACCCCCTTCTTGGTTTTGATTAATTTGCTAGAGTGGCTCATAGAACTCAGAGAAACATTTTACTTACTAGATTACTGGTTTGGAAGAGCCAGATGGAAGAGATGAATAGGGCAAAGTATGGGGAAAGGGCGAGGAGCTTCCATGCCCTCTCCGGGAAGGCTACTTTCCACAAATCTCCATGTGTTCACCAACACACAAGTTTGGAGGTTACTGCAAAAATAGGACATCAACCTGGCTGGCGTGGCTCAGTGGTTGAGCATCAACCTATAAACCAGGAGGTTGTGGTCAGGGCACATGTCCGGGTTCCAGGCTCAATCCAACAGTGAGGGGTGTGCAGGAGGCAGCCGATCAATGACTCTCTCATCATTGATATTTCTATCTCTCTCTCTTCCTCTCCCTTCTCTTTGAAATCAATAAAAATGTATTTAACAGGACAATAGGACATCAACACATCATTTTTTTTTTTTTTTTGAGAGGACACAATTCAACCTATATAACACTACTCCTTTCTTTTATGACCACTTCAAACCAGTCATCTTCCAGGTATTGTATGTTCTACTGTAGCAAAATCTTTCAGATGTGGCTCTTATCCATCCCAGCTTCAGCTGCCCTGGTTATAACATAATCACCTCTCCCCAGGATTATTGCAGTAGCCTCCAATGTGATTTTCTCCCTTCATTTCATTCTTCATACATCTGAGTTATGTAATTAATCTCTAATCAGATTGCTCTGGCTGAGACTCACCAATAACTTTGCTTAACCACAGCATAAAGTATAAACTAGCACAGAAGCCCCCAAGTTTAGCCTCATCTTTTCCTTCCAACTGCCTTTCTTGCCTCTTTGTGTTATGTGCCCCAAACCACACTGGGCTACTTACCCTTTCCCCAAAATCGATTGTTAAGTCTCCAGGCTTTTGCTTATGCTGTTCCCTATGCCTGACACAGCCATCATCACTTTAATCACCTGCTAAACTCCTCATTCCGTAAGGCCCAAGTGAAATATCACTTAGGTTGCTTCCACAACTCCATCACATAGAATTATTGAGCCCTTACTTGTGTTTCTGTGATACCTTGTGATTTTGGATACTAATTTAGTTTTAGGCAACATATAACACCTCTTATATAAAAAAATTAACCTTGAAAATAGAAATATAAGGAGCCACAGTTACAAGCTTTTCCTCCTTTGTTGATATTGATATGAATTGACGATTGCAGCATAAATAAAAAGTACACACATGCATGTGTATAGATTTATATATATAGATTTTTTGAAATCTCTTTGACACATGTTTATTACATACTTTTATAAAATTATTATATAATTTTGTTGTGACCTACCTCATCAAATTACTTTTTAAAACTCTCTAGAGTGAAGGTATTTATTTTTCTGAAATTAGCAAATGTATATACATATGTATCATATTGTTATTTTAAAAGTATATGGCCCGGCCAGGTGTGGCTCAGCGGTTGAGCGTCAACCTAGGATCCAGGCGATCGGGGTTCGATTCCCAGTCAGGGCACATGCCCGGGGTTGCGGGCTGCAGCCGATCGATGACTCTCTCATCATTGATGTTTCTATCTCTCTCTCTCCCTCTCCTTTCCTCTCTCTGAAATCAATAAAAAGATATATTTAAAAAAAAAAAAAAAGAATTTTTTAAAAACGTATATGTGTGTATATATTTATACTATATATATATGAAGTGTATGTAAAATAGCTTATCCCCAAGAGCATACTGTGAATGATCCAGTGTTCTTGCCATTGTTAGATTGAAGAAACAGGAACCAAGCAGCCTGTGTAGCTAGCAGTTTGGATTTTTTAAAGAATGACTTCTTAATAAAGTATAAGGGGAGCTATCACTG